TCTGGGAGTTGAAGTCCACTCATCTTAAAGTGGCCAAGTTTGGACAACACTGGATTAGAGAAAAGACAACATCTACATTTATGGCTGACTGGAAACCTCTCATAGACTTTTTGCGTGGAACAGAAAAAAAATGAACTTTTGATTCGGAGGGTTGATGATTAGAAAACATTAGATAATAGAAAAGAGAGGGCTTTTTTTTTGGTAACCGTAAAGTAAGAGATAATTTTGTAATCAGACCTGTATTTGCTGCAAAGGAAATCAGAAGCTTCTATCTATTTCCTATTATCTTTTCTTTTTGCACTTTTATCTTTCTCTTTTTTTTCTTTCTTTTCTTTCTTTACATTGTATTAGTTTTTGTTACCTTTTATGTTCTTTTTAAAACACGCATACACAAATGACCAGGCTCAAATGATCATTACAGACAGACAGACAGACAGACAGACAGATAGATATAGATCATTTGAGCCTGATCATTTCTGCCTTGAGTGGGTTGATTTGTTCGATGATCCATTGGTTTGGGGGTTTTTTGGGGTTTTTTTTTTTTTTTTTTTTGGCTTTCCATGGTATTTTCAAGAGTCTCCTCCAACATGAAGGTTCAAAAACATCAGCGCTCTTTCTATCCAGCTTCTTCCCAGTCCAACTTTAATTTCCACTGAGTGTCATAGGAAAAACCATTGCCTGTACGACTCTGATCTTATAGGTGTATAGATATATCACAAGATCTGAATACACTATCTTTTCCAAGGCCTTAGCAAGTGCTAGCCTGTGGCAAATTTCTGAAGGCTCAACATTAAACCCCATTTCATGCAGCTTTCCCAAACCTGCCCATCTCTCGCTGTATTCGAAGACTGCTGCCCTGAACTGATCTGGCTGCAGGCTTAGCGAGAAGAATGCAAGTCTCTATGGAGAGAATGAAACTACAACTCCCAGAAGCCCATGCAGCCGAGCAGGTCAGCTGACTTCCAGAACGTCCAGGTTTTCACTTGCCACGCTTTGGAGATGTTTCAGAAAGGGAAGACTCTTTGCACCAAAAGAGGTCCCCCTCCCCTCCCAGCGGGTGAGACAAAGATGAAGACACAAGCTACATGGTCTGAAGGAGAAATTAACAACTGATCGTCAGGGAGAAAAGAAAATAATAATTGCAGTTTCTACCAAGTGGGATTTTGCAGTCATAATTCCTATGGCCACAGAAAGATCCAGCGGTGAGGGAGCTTTGCAAAACTCTGCAAGAAGAGGCAGAAAACAGGGAAGCCGGAGAAGGACCAGAGATCAGGTTAGAGCCTCCCAGTCTGGTCTCCTTTATTCCTCGTATAAGATCTCCATGGTAGATCTAACTTTGTGCCACAAATTGGACTGCTTGCAAGTTGATACCTCCAGTAATTTTAAATGTAGCTCAGCAGGGAGCGTTCTTTCCTGTCTAGCTTTTTCCACTTCCCTGAAACTTTGGGTGAAATTCCTCCTTTTGCAGCACGGATTTACTATGGCACGAGTTTGGACGCAAACCTTTTCATCTCATGCATCATAAGCTGTGCTAGATGAGCCAGGGCAGCAATTCATACCTTCCTCAAGTGCCCCAGGGTGCTTTTTCCTTCTTTTTTTCCCCTTCTTCCTCCCTTTCCTTCCTCTTAGGAATCTGAGAATCTGCCCAAAGGAACTTTTTGGCTGCAAGAAATGATGTGTGTGTGTGTGTGTGAATTCTTTGGGGGTGCTTTTTTTGTGTGTGTGTATGCAGGAGAGAACCTGGAGGGTGTGCTTCCATCCTTTCCTGCATCAAATAAGACAGCCAGGATAGTGTAGCAGTTAAGGTTTAGATAGGCAGGAGGGAGACCCAAGTTGCAATCCATCCATAGCCATTGAAATTCCCTGGGTGACTTTCGACCAGTTCATCTCTCTCAGCCCTACCTCTCAGGGTGGTTATGGCAAGGAAAAATGGGAGGTGGAAGCGCCATGTATGCCCCCTTAAACTCCTGAATGAAAGACGGGATATAAAACTAACAAACACTTGTACAGGAAGGCTGTGATTTATCTGAAGCTCCGTGTAATGGTCTGTGGGAATGACCTTGGGAGACAGGAGGGAGAGCTGCAGCCTAGAGAACCGTCATGGAAAAGGTATCTCAGCCCACAGAAGGAAAAGGGGCCCGGCAAGCATCTCTGAAGGGACCCTCCCTAGTTTTCTGGAAAGTAAAAGTAAGGGAGGGGAGAAGGGCTTTCAGACTTGCACATTTCTGTTACTGTAACCTTACAGTAAAGGTAATGTTAGTACTCATGGTTTGTGCCTCTTGTCTGGACTACCTCGAAGGGTTGACACTCCGTGAAGCAAGGGGAAATGAGAACATCCAGGGGAGCAGAGCCAAGGAAACATGGGGCGCCTCACTTCTGTACTGCTTTAGTTTCTGCAAAGCGTCTTGCGGATCAGGTCCTCTTCTCCTCCTTCATCCCCTTCTCCAGGGCCTTTTACTGCTTTCTGTTCCTTCTCACCATTCTGAATTTCCCTCCAAACTTTGGTTCCAGGATCCAGACGTTCGCCTGTCCAAAGCTCTCTCATACGCCTTGCGCCACGGGGCAGAGAAGCTGGGCCTACACATGGCCACTGGTAAGTAGTTCCCTACCCTTTCCCTGTCACTGCCCAGCACATAAAAGATCGCCTACTTTTTCCTGCGTGGTGTAAGATGCTTACAGCCACGGGAGCCTAGCAAAATGTCAGGCGGACAGCTCTGAAGCGGTGCTATTTTTACTGTGAACCAGCTTGGCTGGGAGTGGCAGAAAGTTATAAATAAAACCAGGCTGAAGGAAGGGTCCACTCTGTGCCCACATTCACAAAGGCAAACACAGCTTTTATATATCTTTAGCAGAAAGCAGACGAACTTTGAAAAAGAGACCCCGCCAAGGAAATCAGTCCAATCTGTTCAAATTGCAAGGGAAATATTTTCCTTTTTTTTTTTTTTTTTATGGATTTGAGTTTCTCGTTTTGATTTGTTTTTAATGGATTTACTTTGAGTTTCTCAAGTTCCTCCAAAATTTGGCTTCCCCCTGCATTAAAGTGTTTCCGTAATTGTTATTTCTACCACCTAGGTCAAGGGTTTCGCTGCATTTTTCCAAGTAAGAAGGAAAGGTGGCTTCATGATTCATGCTGAGTTGTAACATGGCTCATTTCATTTGGTGTTTAGGGTGTGCAGATCTAGGCATTATAATTTGTACACCCAGGATTCTGGTTTAATGTGCTGGACAAACCCAGCCAATTGTGGCTTAAGCCAGGTGTGGCTTAGCCCAAGGCTTGAACCTGACCTTTGTTCCTTTCTTCCTGAATCTTAGATGGCTTTGTCGATGTGGTGGAGATTCTTCGATTGCCCCAATTTAAGGCCTGGTCCGAGGAGGACGTGCAACGGGTCGTGGAGACAAATGAAAAACAGCGCTTTGCTCTGGGGCGACATCCATCCAGTGGACACCTCCAGATCCGTGCTAATCAAGGGCACTCACTACAGGTAGGGAGTTCAGAGAGAATTCAGGTGAGGAAGGAAGACACAGACTTGGAAGTGTGGCTGTTGTGGGGAACTTTTATCTTAAGAGCAGACAAGCGATGTCTTCCTAGGGGCCCGTATACATTTCCACAGGAAAAATGAATAATATAGCATTAACCACAGACATGTGGGGCACTGGCAAATTTTAGCTTTCAGAAATCCAGAACAAAGCTGCCTGCTCCCTGCTCTTCTGTCTTCAGCAGTATGCGCGTTTAACTTATTTTTATTAGGTTTTTATGCTGCTTTTTTTATTATAGATATATTTGGTCAAGGTAGTGAACATACCTAATACTTCCTCCTCCTCCTATTTTCTCCATAACAACAACCCTGTGAGGTGGGTTGGGCTGAGAGAGAGGGACTGGCCCAAAGTCACCCAGCTGGCTTTCATGCCTAAGGGAGGCCTAGAACTCACAGTCCTAGATGGATGGGAAGGCGAAAATCTTACCCATCTGAGTTGATAGCTTTGCTGAAAAAAAATGTATATTTGAAAAACCTAGGAAGGAATCAGAAAGACTAGAACGCATCTCCTCCAGCAGCCAACATTCAGATAAGCAGGGATTAACACCAGACAAACATTCAAGCAGAAAACAGTACTCTAATCAAGGAACCACTGAGGGGGAAACCACACCCCACCAAAACTGGCAGGGCAAACTACCCTATATAAACGGGCAGCAAACCCCACACTCACCCACACTGATAATCTTACCTAGTTGGGTAATAAAATATCTGCAAGCAAACAACTAAGTTCAGAGAGCATTAAGAACTCCATATTTGAATGTGCCCAATACTTCAGTTCTTCAACTGTTGGATTTTTTTTTTTTTATCGTGATGATTCTGTCTGTGTGTTGTTGTTCATTGATTTACAATGATGCTACACACATTTTAACCTTACTTGTGGCCTCTAAGCCGCTCAGTCAGTGGTGACTGGAGGAACTTATAAGCTGAATAAATAAGTAGGTGAGTAATAAATAAATAAACAGCAGAAGCTAGGGCTGGAGTTGCAAAAATGATTACCCTAGAGGTAGCAGGGATATCCAGCCAATTCTAATGCTTTCCAGCCCTAACAAATCTAGGGCTTGTCTGAAACATGGCAGCCTAGATTTTTGTAGCCCATATATTACACTAAGGGTGGGCGACTTGCAGACACAGGGCTGTATGCAGCCCCGACTCCTTCCTTTCAGTGGGTGGTCAAGAACTCTCTGCCTGACTGCATTTCTGTTCCTGCCATTTGGTGGGAGGGAAATATTTTAAAAGAATTGTAAGAGAGAACTGAAGTTGTCCCTGAATGGCATGGATGCTTTAAAATGTCAAAACTGAACTATTAAGTGTCTCAAATCTGCATTCTAAGCCACCCTTTTAAACAAGAAAAAGAAAGAAAGGAGCTATCCCGTTTCAGCAAGTTCTCATTGGTTATTCCTGTCCCCCCAGGTTCCCGAGCTGGAGCTGACTCCACTGCAGACCCTACAGGATTTTCCAGAGACTGTGGCTCACGGCACACTTCTGCGCTACTGGCCAGCAATTCGTCAGAATGGCCTGTCCCAGATGGGGAGAACACACATCCATTTAGCCCCTGGATTGCCAGGGGAGGGGGCCATCCTAAGCGGTGAGTACTCCACTTTCAAGTGCAAGGGGCAGGTTGTCTTGTGGTTGGCTGTGGGATTCCTTCCCCAGAAGGCTTCACCAGCTTCAACATTTGGATCCTCTGCTACTTTTGTGTTTCAAACAACTTCTCATTCCCACTTGGTTTTAATCACAGTTTGCAGCTCTTTTAATTGGGAGACCATCCTGGAGTTTGGATTTGTTTTAAAGACGCTTGGTACAAGCAAAAGACTGGGTTTACAGTTTGGAAAAACTCACACATCCAGGTTTACAAATACCAGGGGTTAGTCACACCCAGCTAAAATCAAACTGAAGGTAGAGGGAACAGGGAATGGCCTTGAAGGAAAGGAGGAAATGCTGCTACCAACTCAATGGTCAGATAACCGGGGCTTGAGCCCAGGCAATAAAATAACTTGAGAAAACATCTCGGACAAGACCCTTCCGAGTTCACCCAAAGATCAGGGAGGGAGGGAGTAGCTCATTCAGACTTGCAAGGTCCTGTTACTATAGCTGTTACAATAAAAGTAGTCCTGACCTATATGGCGTTGGTTTCTTACTCTGGTCTACCTTGTAGGGCTGACACTGAATTAGGGCATAGCATGATATGTGAACCCCCGCCAAAATATTTGAATAAACAACCTGAGATTTACAGTGCTAACTTGAGATTAAGCATTGCTGCATTCAGTACAGCCTCTTTCTTCTCTTAGCAGGAATGAGAAACCGTTCTGAAGTGGCCATAATCATTGATATTCCCAAGGCTCTGGCTGGTAAGTGAAGACCAACCTTGTAGAGCAGAAGACGAATAGAGAAGCAAGCATTGAACAGAAATGGCTTCCTGTCCCATTGCTTGCTTCTCGGCGCAGAAGGTCCTGGTGCTGCAGGGCGGAATCTTAGGATGGACAGAAACCAGCTTCAAATGTTGGGAGGGGAATCCCAACTTGTCTACCCCTCTTCTAGGGAGAGGGGAAGAAATGATGCATTTTCTTTGACTCATAGGATTTCTGCTTCCCCATAGATGGAATCTCTTTCTTTCGCTCAGCTAACGGAGTCATCCTTACCCCCGGCAATGCAGAAGGGGTGCTGCTTCCCCGCTACTTCTGCAGAGCAGTACAGCTTCAGCCTCAGCGTAAGTTTGCAACTTCTTCTACCTCTTAACGCCCAGTCCAGGGTTCTGAACATTCAAGATACATGTGGAAGAAACCATCAGCTTGAAGTCTGGGTGGGTTTCAACGTAGGCTACGGAGGGGTTTAACAGAAGCCATGTGGAAACAGCTGGACTTACCCAATCTGCCACCTTCCAGATATGTCACAACTGCAACGGTCAGGTTGGTGGGAGCCTGTGGGAATTGTGATCCCTACACATCTACTGTTCTCTGAGTCACTCAGCCACTCGGAACAGGAAGCAAAATCAAAAATCTTTCTCCATCCTAGCTTTCTCACACTAACCCACACCCTCACTCACCCAAGCCCGAACCGAAACTCTTTGATAGTCTAAGTGGGAAGTGCCTTAGCTGTCATTCAAACAATGATGCAAGAATGATTGTTATAAGCGCTAAGAGGAGCCTCATTTATAGCCCCTATTTCCTTCAATGATGTCTTCTTCTGGACCTTTAAAACAACACCCTATTTTGGCAATCTCCTTTTTCTCTTCCCAGGCGGCCTACTGCCTCTTGAGTGACCAGTCCTGATATGGACATCTTCCTCTCCTTCACTTCATCTGAGAGACAGCAATTTATAACACGTGTGTGTGTGAACATAAAATTAAACAAGAAACCTCTGTATGTAATTAGAGCAGACGTAATCTTTCTCTCCCTCCCTCAGTGGAAAATATATCTCCAGTCACATACTGATGTCTCCCATCATTCCATGCTGTTGGCCAAGTGAGCTAGGAGTTCTGAATAGCTGGGCTGTTAAATTAAATGGACTACTCCCAGTTTAGGCCATTCTGAGAAATGTGGGAGGAAGAATAAAATTGGAAAGAAAGCGTTTTCATGAAAAATCATCTTTATAGCCCCTTGAAGGAGATAGGAAAAAAACCACAAAACAACTCAATGCAACCCCTCCCCCCTCGCCCTGCAAACAGTACAAAAATAATGAAAGGTACCGGTATCCCAACTTGCATTGGGTTAATTCCTGAGTTTCATGGAGGAGGAAAGTTTGAACACTTCCTTCTTCACCTGGCAAGACATTTGAAATGGAAAAATCCCTAACTCTGCTGTTCTGTCCTGGTTGCAAGCACTCAGATTGCCTGCTCTGAAACTCTAAAAAACAAATCACAGGTAATGCAGCCTTCGAGTCCTTTGGGAAACATTTCTCTTGGCTGGTGAATGTTCCCTCCTCACTCTATCGTTTTCTTAGTTGCTCTCCAAATCTTTATGGATGCCTGGACTCCAGTAAGGGCCTTAGCGCACCAGTAGTGCAGAGGCAATACATTAAGGAGATCAGCTGATTCCTGGAGGAGGGAATGGTCTTGGTAGGAGAAACATCAGAGGGCTTCGTGACCCCCTGTCAGCTTATGGAAGAGCTCTTCATCCAGCGTCTGGCTTCGGTCAGCTGTGCGGGTAGACAGGAAGATGTAACCACCAATATATTCATGGACTGTCTTGCAGCCAGCAGAGATGCAGCTGAAAGCCACGTTGATGTGCTCGTCAAACTCTATGGCCACCTGCGAAAAGCAACATGGAAATCTGGGGTTTAAAATAGCTGGTCACCTGCAGTGCATGTACCCTGGTTAGCGGTGGGCATCTTGAGAAGCTGAAGGTTGGTTCTCTTTGAGTCATCAATGTGGAAAGAAGAGACCAGCTGTTTGGGTTCCATCTAATACAAGGGTGAGGAATTTGTGCCCCCCCAGATGTGGCTGAATTATAGTAGTCCCCAACTGTTGGCCACTGTTTCTGGGAAGGGGCAACTGAACAAACAGAATTCAAATCCATTGAATGCCCCTCTCCTCTTTTTGCCTGGCCTCACCTGGCGAATGTCCCAGTTGACATTCCATTGGCGCATGTTGCTGTACCGCCAAGTCTTCACCACATCCCCAACAGTAAGGTCAATCCGGATCAGGCGGTTGTTGGCGATCCCCAAGATCTCATCTTTCCTGCTGCCTTTGAACCTGTGCACCAAGTGTGTGAGCGTGTTAAGGTCAACCCACTTCCCATCAAAAGATGCGTCCTGGCTCAAAAGCTAAATCTTGTCTTGCTTCCTTTTTTCTTAAGCTACAAAGCCCCAAACATCTGTGCCAGGTCATTTTTAAGGATAAAATAAATTATAAGGAGAAAGAGATGGGGAACCTTCGTCAAACATGCAGATAGCACCCAGGGATGTATCTTCCAAGAAAGATGGCTGTGCTGTTACAAGGTTGTTGATGTGCTATTTATCTAAATTATTATGACGTTGATTTCTCTACTGCTATCTATTGGAGAAAAAATAATAAAGCGGTTTGCAAAAATGAAACAATGCAGAAGAACAAACTGTTGAGGGAACTGCATATATTTAGCCCCAAGAAGAGAAGACTCGCAGGGGGTGGGGGGTGGGATGGTGTATGAAAGAGGATGTGATACTACTCTTATAGAGAATTTCAGAATCCAGGACACAGAATACTCTGCTCTGGAAAGAGAAATTAGGAAATACAGATATAAAACTATGACATAACTAAGAGAAGGTATATTCAGAGGCTGGACATCCAACTGTTGGGAATTCTTGAATTTGGATTCTTGCCCTGGGCCTAGGATGGGATTTGAGGACCTCTAGGTCTCTTTTCCATTTTCTAATTTGGAAACCATCTCAACTCTCCTCCTGATCAAACCCCACCCAGCTCACCAAGATCAAGGAGGCAAGAAGTGTGTAAATTGCAGGAAGGTTCCTTGAATGATGGTAAATACAGACTCTTGGAAACCATGAGAAGAATTTCCAGCCTTCATTTGTTAGCGAGTTCATGGATTTGAAATGCTTCTTCCCAGGTTTCTTATCACCTGGCCTGGCTTGCCATTTCTGAGATAAGGTACCACCAGCCTCACTTCCCTCTGCTGATTGCGTATCTCCCATCCCTTTCCCCAAACTTTCACGCTCCTCAAGGAAGCCAACCCACGTTCTCAGGAACAGCTGTAGAAAAACGGAGCCGCTTCTTACCTGACCACAAAGTAAGAGATGCCAAAATCAGGGAGGGATTGCCACGTTTGGATTAATTTCATCTTGGCTTCAGTGAGGGAGAGTTGGGAGACGTTCTGATAGGCTTCTAGGATGCGTGGAGTTAACTGGGGACATTTGCAAACAAAGAGAGATCAGAAGGAAATGGATGTGGGGCATCAAGTCCCTCTTTCCACCTGCACTCAGGACATGTATGGAAGCTTCCAGGACAATACAAAAATGCACTGGAATTAAGAAGGAAACACGCGCGCACACTTACACGGAAATGTGTGCACGCTATATTACACTATACTACCACTGTAATATGGAATTGGTTCTCATCATGACTGGTAGCTACTGCCAGCATCTGGTATCACTGATGGGATATAAAGTGATGAGGAGGAGGAGGAGGAGGAGGCAATGGTCATACTTCAACTCTCCCCTGCATTTCTCTTCAATTCTACGGTACCTGGATTTACCATTCCAAGCAACCAGAAGTGGTTGGATCCAGCAACTCTGTTCATTTCCCATAATCCTGAAATAGCCTCCATGCAGGGTATTGTGGGAAATAAAAATGGCAGCCTGCAAACCAGGGTGAGGGCGAAAGATACCTGCTTAGGTTTGAACTTCTTCTGGTAGCGAGGGGACACGAGCCATTGGGCACCCTCCGTCTCTGCATTGAGGGACATTTCCGGATTGGTCTTCTGTAACTTCAGGAAGGAGAGAATATTCTCCTTTTCAGCTTGGTAGGATGCATCTGCCATGGTTTTCCCCTTTGCTGCCAGCCTGCAGCCGGCCATCCAGCAGGCATATTGCTGCTCCTGGTTAAGAATAGGAGAGAGGGGAGAGAAAGATGCTTCAACCATTCCTACAGCCTTATAATATAAGCTCTCCAGCAGCAGAATGGGTTGTCTCAGCATGTGGTGGGTTTTCCTCCATTGGAGGTCCTGAAGCTCTGAGATGCTTTAGTTGTCTCCTGTACTTTAGGCCCAACATGGAACAAAGGTCAGACTTGATCCATCCAAGTTTCCACTCTGTGATTCTAAACTTGGCTTCGTCCCCCCCCCCCAGCTTTGTCTCACTCACGTCTGCACATCTCAGATGTACTTCGCTCATCCCGTCAGGGGAAGGGACCAGCAACTTGATGCAGAATTTTTGGCCAGAGATGTTGACATCTGGCACCACTTCACAGCCTGGATGGGGGAAAGAGAGAGATTAGAACACTTCAGACATAATAAGCTATTTTGAAAATGACATGGCCTGTGGTCTCGCTAGCCCAAAGTTTTCAAGTGATAATGGGCCCCATCTTCCATTTGGCACACTGGCTGGAAGTGAGAAACACATTTGGAGACACTCATTTGGAAATAGTCAACTTAGTGAACATGATCTTCTCTGGCTGAGGACAAGTAGGTTCTTCTCCAGATCCTTCTAGCCAAAGAATTCAGGGGTTGTAACTAAGGCCTTTGGGAAATGGGTAGCCATTTGGGTTGCACCCTCTTTGCCTTGGTTGGTAATAGACTCACCTTTCAGGTTGAGCTGTTGGACAGGCTCTCCCAGTGCTTCCTCAGGGCTCTTGTAATATGAGATGGAAGTCTCTTTGAAAACCACCCAATACTGCTTATAACCTTTCAGGGTCAGCTTGCGGGGCCTGGGTGGAATAAAGAGGAGTGAACAAAATGGCAGGAGAATCATAGAATTGTGGAGTTGAAGGCACCTCCAAGGATCATCTGGTCCAACTCCACAATGTGCAGGAAAACCATTAAACCATCCTCAAAAAGTGGCTGTCCAGGCTTTTCTTATAACCTCTGGAAATAGAGACTCCAGAACCACTATAGGTAGTCTATTACCCTGTTGCACAGATCTTATCATCTAGGTAGCTTCAACTTATACACATTATTTCTCATCCTAATTCCTGTGGCAGTGGAATATAGTTCTCCATCATCTTCCCTATGCACTGTTTTATGTGCCTGAACATTGATATGTCTCCCCCTCCCATCTTCTCTCCACAACTGAAGGCCCCACATTCCTACAGCCTGTCCTCATTAAAAAATGGCCATGGTATTTCCAAAGAGTTGGAAAGAACCATCTTCTTCCTCCATCTTAACTTTCTCTCCTGTAGTGTTCAGTGTTGGACTACATCTTCAGTCTTCTGCAGCTATGTTGGGTGAGGATGATGGGTGTATTAGCCTAACATCTTAGAATGGCACAAGCTTGGGAAAGTTCTGCTTTTGCTTAATGCTAAAGATCTGCTACGAAAAACAAGCGTGGCATTAAACAAACCTGTCCAGGTCTATTTTAAAATGTTGCATCCACACTCTTATGAAGGACTGACCTGAATATTCGGAGGTGATCTTTCAACTCAGGGATGGCTGTGAGACTGTCCTACAGCAGCGGGAGGGGGAGGGGGGAACAGAGAAAAAAGGATTATTGTCTTTCTAGATTACCTTAAGGCAGTGTTTCTCAACCTTGGCAACTTTAAGATGTGCGGACTTCAATTCCCAGAATTCCCCAGGCAGCCTTGCTTTCAGATGTGTAAGATTCTGTTACTGTAACCTTACAATAAAGGTAGTGTTAGTCCTCATGGTCTGGACTACTTCGAAGGGCTGACGTCAATCTTGCAAGTCTGAAAGTGCTTCCCCCCTCCCCAGCCTTTGCTTCCCAAAGAACTA